TGTCCCAGGGGAGTTGGGTAGAGCATCATCCTGCACTCGGTGTCCAGTCCCCTGCCTCCTCGGCTGACATGGCTCCCACCCCTTCAGACACTTGGCCAGGGAGATAGGACATTTTTCACAGGGTCAGGTCACCAGACTGTGAAGTCAGCTGCCAGCGGGGGACGCTAAGGCAGGGCCCTGTTGGCGACGGGCAGCATGGCTGTTGGCCCGCCTTGGGACCACACAGCCTGGGCAGGGGTTCTCCAGCGGGACACACATGGGGAGTTCCAGGCAGGGCAAAGACACCCGGGTACAGGCATCTGAGCCAGCAACAGGCTGCCTGGCGGGTGTCTGGCACGAAGGACAACCCCGTTGGAGGGGCCAGTGCTGCTCTGAGAATCAGGAGCTCCAATGTCCAAGGGCAGGAGATGGTGAACGCGTGGGCTCCAGCAGCGACGGCGCATTCTCCCCCTTCTTCCTTGTTTTTGGGTGCTTTTCAGACCATCAACTGATCCAGCAGGGCCCACCCACACTGCAGGAGCCCCTGGGCTTTACTCAGTGCCCCGAATTGGGTGCTCATCTCGTCCAGGAACACTCCCGCAGACAGACACACCCAGGAGGTAGGTGTAACCAGCCCTCTAGGCTGCCCTCCACCCAGTCGGCTTGACACGGGTGATGATCCCTCACATGAACTGGCGGCTCCCACGAGTGACTGGAGTGAAGACGCTGGGCCAGGTCTTGACTGTCACATCCCCAGGAACCACACCGCTTTCCCAGGGTGCTCATGGTTTGTTCTCCAGCCCACGGGAGGGGTGGAGCTCATAACCACTTGCACAAGGGTGCTCCTCGGAAATCCCAACAATACGCCTGTAAAACGCCCTGTGTGTTTTCCACATGGGGTGTTTCTGGGACCGCCGGGGCTCCTCCCCAGACAGCTATGTCCTTGGGTGTTGGCTCTTCCTGAACACCACATCTGGCATCTTCTTTTCTTTATTATTATTGTTTAATTAATTTTATTTTTTTTTAAAGAACAACTTTAGGTGCACCCTATAACAAAAGTACCCAGCATGCAAATAAATGTGTCCAGCAACATTGTGGGGGAACACACAGAAATTTCCCATGTACCCCTGTGACCACACACATGCACAGCCTCCCCCGTGTCCATCCCAGCCCCACAAATGGTTGATTTTCTATAATTCATGAACCCACACCAACCCCATCATCCTCATACAGATGCATTCTTTAATTTATGTTAGCGCTTATTCTAGGGAGTTGTGCGTTCTGTGAGTTTGCACGTTGTCAGTGACACGTGTGCAGTTATAGCGTCATGTAGAGTCTCATCCATTCATCCCCCCATTTATCCATCTTTCCTTCCATCCATCCATCCAATCATCTATCCATCCATCCATCCATCCATCATATCCATCCATTCACCCACCTGTCCACCCATCCATTCATCCGTTCATCCATGTGTCTGTCCATCCGTCCGTCCATCCATCCATCCATCCATCCATCCATCCATCCATCCATCCATCCATGTTTTTACCATCTATCCATTGATCCACTGATTCATTTATCCACCCATCCATCCATGCATCCACCATCTATCCATCCATCCATCCATGCATCCATCATCCATCCATCCATCCATCCATCCATCCATCCATCCATCCCCTCATCCACTCACACGTCCATGTATCCATCCATCTTTCACTTCTCAGTATGTGTTTCTGGTAGCTTCCTGGCTTCTCACAGCTCAATAGCTCATTTCTATTTGGCACTGAGTAATATTCCCCGGCCCAGATGGACCGCACTTGATGCATCCATCCACCTGCTAAAGGTCACCTTAGTCGCTTTCATAATCTTTTCAAGGAAGGCAGACTCTGCCCTAATCCCTTTGGGGTCGGAACATGGACAAGGCAGTTTTCCGACCATATTGTCTGGGGCCCGCCGGGTCTCTGAGATGCATCCCTGGTCACCTGACCACAGGGAGCCCCCATTTCAAGCCCGGGGCCCAGAGCAGCTTCCCTGCGTCCAGATGGGCATTTGGAGGAAGCACATAGCTTGTAGGACCGCATGGTGCACATGAGATTCCGCCAAGAACCTGGGAATGCGGAGGGCTGGCCCAGGACGGAAGGAAGTCCAGCCGTGCGCCCCACCCTCCCCATCTCGTCATGTCACCCCACGTCTGTGATGCACGAGGGGCGGTGTGGTCCATCCTCGGTTGCTCGGAGCTGCCATCTGCAGGGTGACGTGTGCCCCTCCCGTACGTGTCGGTCTGCCGGCAGTGGTCACGGGTGTTAGTGGCGGCAGCGCTGCGGGTTGGCAGGCTCATGACTACACAAGGGGAGCTTGTTGGGGTGAATAGGGCCCGGCGGCCAGCTCCTGTACGTCCTGCCCTTCTGCCCCCGAGGGCACCGCGGCACCTTCTCCTGGCATCTGTGCCAGCTTACCACATTGTGCAGACACGCTGGGCTGAACTGGGCGCCCGGGCCTCCAGTCACAAGGACGAGCCACTGTGCAGACGATGGCACCGTGTTGGCGCCTCCTCCATGCTTCTCTTTGGCCCAGCTGGCCGCCCTCTGCCCGGGTCCCTGCCACCTCTGTCGCTGACCTCGGGCCTCACGTCACCTCCACATTCAACGAGGAGGTCCTGCCTTTCCAGGGAACCTGCCACGTGCAGGGCGTTAGGCACCATGGCCCTGTCTGTCTTGCTTCCCTCCAAGCGCGTTTTTGGGGTGGCCGCTCTCTCCGGTCCTCCTCTTGGGCGTGCTTGATGCAGTGGCCTCACTCAGGAAGGCCCTCGCTCACCAAGCAGACTCCACGCTTTGAGGTGGTTGGTGTCGGCCCCTTCGTTGAGCGGCACAATGTGTATTTTGTGACGGTTAATTTTACGTGTCCCCTACGCTGGGCTGTGCATGCAGACCTGTGGTCCAGCGCTCGTTTGGATGTCGTAGGGAGGTATTTGTACACGAGGCAGACATTACAACCAGTAGCCTTTGAGTCAAGCAGGTGACTGTAGAGTGGGTGGGCCTTGTCCGATCAGTCGACAGCTTCGTGAGAAAACAGACTGCCCTCCCCTTTGCTGGTGGAGGTGATTTTTTTTTCTTTTCTGATGTTGCTTTGACGCTTTGATTTATCTCCTCATAACCCGAATTCCTTTCCAACATCATCCTACATCACGTAGTAATTGCTGTCTTATCTTTTCCCCTTGGATCCTTTCTCTGTGGTTTATTGGAATCCAAGGCTACGGGGGCGGAAAATACTTGGGTTTGTCTGGATGGTTCTTTTCTTGATGGTGACATTATAAACACCCTCCCTCCCTCCCTCCCTCCCTCCCTCCCTCCCTTCCTTCCTTCCTTCCTTCTTTTTTTCTTTCCCTCCTTCCCTCTTTCTTTCTTTTTTCTTTTCTTTTCTTTTTCCTTCCTTCCTTCCTTCCTTCTCTTTCTTTTTTTCTTTCCCTCCTTCCCTCTTTCTTTCTTTTTTCTTTTCTCTTTTCTTTTCTTTCTTCTTCCTTCCTTCCTTCCTTCCTTCCTTCCTTCCTTCCTTCCTTCCTTCTCTTTCTTTTTTCTTTCCCTCCTTCCCTCTTTCTTTTTTCTTTTCTCTTTTCTTTTCTTTCTTTTTCCTCCCTTCCTTCCTTCCTTCCTTCCTTCCTTCCTTCCTTCCTTTCTTTCTTCCTTTTTTCTTTCTTTCTTCTTTCTTTTCCTCCCTCCCTCTTTCTTTTTCCTTCCTTCCTTCCTTCCTTCCTGCCCTCCTTCCTTCCTCTCTTTCTTTCTTTTTTTCTTTCCCTCCTTCCCTCTTTCTTTTCTTTTTTCTTTTCTCTTTTCTTTTTCTTTTTCTCTTTCTTTCTTTCTTTCTTTCTTTCTTTCTTTCTTTCTTTTCTTCCTTTTTTCTTTCTTTCTTCTTTCTTTTCCTCCCTCCCTCTTTCTTTCTTTTCTCTTCCTTCTTCCCTTCCTTCCTTCCTTCCTTCCCATTCATTTAGTTGAGGGAGAGGGAGACTGAGGGAAGTCTTCAAGCAGACCCTGCTGACTGCAGAGCCTCATGCAATGCTTGATCCCATGGCCCTGAGATCCTGACCTGAGCTTCTAGTTCATTCCTTTTCTAGCAATGCGTATGACCCTATTATGGGATATGCCCACCCCCTAGTGTTACTGGGCTTAGTTTGCATGACATCCTGCACGTCAAATGGCAGAGCTGCTTGCGTAGAATTTCGGAAAGGTCACGGGCATGTTTTCAACATGGTGGTTGCTTTGTTTTCCCTCCACTGAGATTTTCTTAGAAATGGAATCGTGTCCTACGGGGTCTTGGGGACCCTGACTTCTGTCCCTGAGCATCGTGTGTTTGTGGTCTGTGCACATGGTAGCAGGTGTCCGAGCTCCGTTCCTTTTCATGGCTGAGTAATAGTCCATCCGCGGATCCGTTGGTCCACTTGGGTTGTTTCCATGGCTACTGTGAATAACGCTGTTCTGAGCCCTGCCGCACACACACGTACATGCTTCCGCCTCTCCTGGGTAGATGGGTACCGAGGAGCGGGACCGCCGGACCGTGTGGTTTCTCCTTCACGTTCCAGGATGCCCGTGGCATTTTAGGTTCCCACCAGCCACGTGCGACAATCCGCATTTCCCTCCATCCTTGGCAACTAGTGGGCGCGAAGCGAGATCCCACTACCGTTTTGGTTTGCGTGTCCCGTTTTGGTTTGCGGACGGTGCAGGGCATCCTTTCAGGTGCTTGCGTCACAGAGCGCCATTCTCATGTCCCAGCGGGGAATAGGAACGCATTATTTGATGGCCAAGGACGGAATGCACCGGAGACCGAGACGGCCTGGCAGCCACATGGAGCAGCAGTGTGTGCACAGCCCTCAGCATTTGCGGAAAGGACTGAGACGTGCATTTACCAGCAGCTCCGACGTGAGCCGTAAAACACACGGGCGTTTCCAACACAACTGGGCAGAAGCCAAGATGGCAGAGACTTCCCTGTTGTTAAATTTGCCTTTTTTTTTTCTTTTTTAAAGCGGATCATATGACGTGGCTCGAGATTATTAGACTTCTTACGTCCGTCCTTGCAAATCCCCATAGTTCACGTGCAATTGCAAAGAAGAATATAGAGAAATCTCACGGACACTTTACCTGCTTGAGGATGACATCTTGCCAAACTGTAGTGCGCGACCCCAATGCATGTGTCAGCGGGCGTGCGAGGCATCGCTCTTCTACCCACACGTCGCCGTTTTCTCAGGTACCCACCCGTGCGTTGCCGGGGTTCGCGGCCTGGGATCTCCTTGCACGTACAGGGTGGTGCCTTCCTCATCACGGTCAAGACGCAAAGCGTGTTTCCCACCTCGGGCTTCCCACCTGCATGCATCCTTCACCCCCAGCAAACCGCTCGTCTGTTCTGCGCTTCCACGGCGCCGTCGCTTCAGGAGTGCCACAGAAACGGCCTCGCACGCCATGCAACCCTTTTCAAATTGCTTTTTTTTTTTTCTCCCCCCCTCGGTCTCTAAACTGGGCATAATTTCCTGGAGGGTCCTCCCCAGACGTCACTAGGACACTAAGGCTTTCTTTTGGAAGAGCACCTGTAACAACTCTTGTACGCGACGACATTCCCACTGAAGACCTGTGTCTTCTCAGCGAGGCTGGCAGCTCCTGGGCGAAAAAGACACAGCCTTGGTGCACACATCTCCGTGCAACCCTGCACTTTTATTTTTTTATTTTTATTTTTTTTTGCAGGACCAGGTGTTCCAGGGGAGGAAGAGCCGGCATTTGTCATTGATCGGCACCAATAACTCGCTTCCCTTTGCTCGTGTTTAATTCTAGACGTGAGTTTCTTTTTAATTTATTTTATTTTTATTTTTTATCATTATTATTTTTTTGAGTTTCAACACTGCTTTAGGCGTGAATGTTTAGCTCAGTATCTGGGACCCCTCGTTCCTTTCCTTTGTCTCTTCTCGGTGGGGAGGAGACGACATGCTCTCCTGTTGCTTCACGAGGACCCCGTCCATCATGGACGAACAAAGCATCCTTTATCCTGCACCTGGCAGCCCCTCGTGTGCCTTCTTTTTTTTTTTTAATTTTTTTATTTATTTATGATAGTCACAGAGAGAGAGAGAGAGAGGCAGAGACACAGGCAGAGGGAGAAGCAGGCTCCATGCACCGGGAGCCCGACATGGGATTCGATCCCGGGTCTCCAGGATCGCGCCCTGGGCCAAAGGCAGGCGCCAAACCGCTGCACCACCCAGGGATCCCTCCCTCGTGTGCCTTCTGATATTACCCGACGCACTTTCAATTCTGTAGAATTAAACCTTTTTTTTTTTTTTTTTTTTACATGCTCAGTGTGACCTGACGTTTCCCTGCACAAATTCTGTGAGCTCCCTAGAAAAGGCATTGTCACTGAGCGGTCACCCACTAAGAAATAGCCGCCACCGCATTCCCGTCGGTTTCTATCATTGGATGTTTAAATATTTCAAAAGTTTAAATATTTCAATCGTTTAAACAATATTTTAAACATTTCAGGTATCTGAATATTTAAGTAAAATAATATTTCAAACATTTCAAATATTTGAATATTCAAGTTAAAATTTTAAGCATTTCAAATATCTGAATATTTAACAATATTTTAAACAAGTATCTGAATTATTTAAATAATATTAAAATATTTCAGGTATCTGAATATATGATAATTTAAAGAATATTTTAAACACTTCAAGTATCTGAATATGTGAATTACTTAAAGAATATTTTAAATATTTCAAGTATGTGAATACATTAATTACTCAAACAATATTTTAAACATTTCAGATATCTGAATATTTTTATAAAATAATATCTTAGACATTTCAAGTATTTGAATATTCAAGTTAATATTTTAAACATTTCAAATATTTGAATATTCAAGTTAAACAATATTTTAAACATTTCAAGTATCTGAATATTTAACTTCAGATTTTAAACACTTCAAGTACCTGAATATGTAAATTACTTAGAGTATTTTAAATATTTCAAGTATCTGAATAAATTAATTACTGAAACAATATCTTAAATATTTCGGATATCTGAATATTTACATAAAACAATATCTTAAACATTTCAGATATTTGCATATTTAAGTTAAATAATATTTTAAACATTTCAAATATTTGAATATTCAAGTTAAACAATATTTTAAACATTTCAAGTATCTGAATAATTAAATTACTTAAAGAATTTTTAAATATTTCAAGTATCTGGATATGTAAGTTATTTAAACAATATTCAAATATTTCAATCATCTGACTATGTGAATCATTCAAACAATATTTTAAACACTTCAGGTACCTGAATATGCAAATCATTTAAACAATATTTTAAATATTTCAAATATTTGAAAATGTAAATGATTCAAGTAATCGTTGAATCTTTCAAATATTTGAATATTTAAATTGTTCAAATATTTGAAAATTTAAATTACTTAAATAACCATTGAATCTTTCAAATATTTGAATATTTAAATCCCTCAAATGGTTGGATATTTAGATTAAATTTTGAATATTTGAATATATAAAGTATTCAATAATTTGCATGCATAAATTACCTAAATACTATTTTTAAACATTTCAAATCTTTAAATGTTTGAGCCCTGTCTTACTTCCTGTGCTGTGGTCCGCGAGCTGTCATTTTATTGCTTCCCTAGATGTTGGCCCTCCCGGAGGCATGAGGTCAACCCTGGACATTTCAGTTCTTAAAAAAGCATAATGACCCACGAGGGCTCTAAACATAGTCCGGGCTCTGGACGGGAGCTCTTTCTCAGGACGGCCTGCACACTTCATGCCTTTGCGAAGCAAATAGGCTTCGGAGGTGCTGGTTGCTTTTCTTGTGCTTTGAGTTGTGCGGTGGCCCCCAGAACAAATCAGGGGTGCGCCGTTGGACGTGAGGCTGCCGAGCGAGGCAGTTTGGGGATGAAAGCAGCAGACGTGAACGTTGTCCCCGAGCGGCCTCATGGTGCGTGTGTGGCAGCTGCTGACCTGGTGCCGGCTGGTTGGTGGAGGTCAGGTTACAGCCAGCATGTCCCGAGCGCTCCCTCCTACCCGTTGTTGGTGAGCTGGCCTGTGGGACTTGGTGGCGGAACCAAGATAAAGGAAGGACGCGGGCGTGCAGAACAGAGGGTGGCGTGCAAGGGGATGCACGGTGATCCCCGGTTTGCAGCCGGGTTTGGGAGGCGGGGGGGGGGAGCATAGAAGGTGTCTGGGCTGAAAATGAGCTGCGTCCGGGAGATAAAATGAGTGGGGAGAGTGGCCGGCTCACCTGTGCTCCTAGGGAGCCCCTCTAGTCAGGCTGGCGTGCCCTTACACAGATGTGTGCGTGCATGTGCACCAATTTCTGGGGTTTGAATTGTGCCTCCCTCCCCCTCAAAAAAGATATGTTGAAGCCTTGGCCCTGGTACTTGTGAAGGGGGCCTTACTGGGAAATAGGTGCTCTGCAGATGGTCGAGATAATGTGAGGTCATGAGGGTGGGCCCTGATCCCATAGGACTGGGGTCCTAATAAGAAGAGGGGCGAGGGCACGAATATGCACAGAGGGACGACCACGTGAGGACACGGGGAGAGCATGGAGTCTGCTCACCAAGGAGAGAGGCCTCACGAGGAACCAGCCTCAGCTTGTCCATCCATCCATCCGTCTACCAACCAGTCATCTATCTATGCATCCATCGATTCTGTTTATCGAGCTCTCCATCTATCTATCCGTCCATCATATCTGTATCTACCTCTCTCTCGAGCTCTCTATTTCTCTATCTAATCTATCCATCCATCCGTCATATCTGTCAATCTATCCATCCTATCAATCAATCAATCAATCAATCAATCATCTGTGTATGTTTGTATGTATCTACCCATCTATCTCCTTGGGTTGTGGCCTCCATGGCTTACTTGTTCAGTGCATGTGGCAAATTCTGGGATGCGGACACAGCAGGTGCACACCCCAGCTTTGAGGGGGGCGGGACCCCCGGCGGGTCAGCCCCTCTTCCTCCCCTGCGACGGCCTTGCCTGATGCAGCCTGGGGGCCGACCTCTGTGGGACACACGTCAGGCGTGCATTTCAGCACACGTGTGTGCAAACTATACTTCAGTATCTGTACGTCGAAGCCGCTGGGTGCAGGCTGAGCAATCAAGAGCAAAGCGTTTACATTTGCATCCCCGTTATGGGGTGTCCACGGGGCTCTGCAGCGCCGTCTGCTTCTAAAAAATAAATCCTATGTGCGAACCAGTCGGGATTTGGAAGGAATTGAAAGCAGCTCCTGTAGAGCACCGGTCCCGGAGGAGGTGGGATGCGCGTTGCAGAACACGAAGTTGACTGTGTTGATCGGGAAAGCATGGCGGGCGCACGGATGGGGGACACATTTGTGTTTGCAGGAGGTGGGCACGTAGCAGGTCCGCGGGGATGGGGTCTGCTTTGCACACAGGGTTGAGCCCCGACACCTCGATGGGGAGGGAGCCCCGCAGGCGGTAGCTGTGGCGCTATCTTTCCTGCCCGTCGGGCCACGCGGCCCCCGATCTGGTTTCCAAATGCTTCCTGGGCTTCCGTCCTCTTGCACCTGCTGTGCATCCTCCCTTGCACCTGAAGGATGTTCACACGCCTCGCCCGCTGCACGCCGCTCAGGTCGTCACCTCCTGCCTCCGCTCTGGCTGCTGCAACTTCTCTCCATCGTGCACGCCTGTCCTCGGCCCCCTCCAGAGCAGCAGCTCCTGCGTGCTTGCTCGCGAGCCCTCGCAGGCCTGCCCCGGAACCGGCCCGGATGCAACCGCCAATGGCAGTGCGTTGGACCGTGCGGCAGCGGGGCCCCGGACGGCGGGGGCTGGCGTGCATGCTCGCCTGCTCCACGGACCCGGTGTTGGACAATGTGCATTGCAGGGGTCACCACAGGGCAATGAAAGACACGGTCACCCTCCTTCCTGGGGCTCGCACACGCCTCTCCAGCCCTGCAGATGTCCCCCGGGCAGCTCGGAGGCAACACCAGCTGGCTCCCTGACCCCGACGTGTGTGCGAGGTCGGGTTTGTGCAGGACCCGAGGCCCCGGTTGCACTGCCCCACGCCCCTGCCTGACGAATGTCCCCCAAAAGCACATGTCTAGGACCATTGATGCGTGAGTGTTGTTTCCAGCTGCTCGCAGAGGCACGTGTGTCTGTCCACGAGCCTCTATTCTCTTTCGCGCTGTGGCAATCCACCGGGACATTCAAAGCGAGTCCTGGGCTTGTGTCAGGGCAGCTCTGCTGGTGGCCTCGACTACGCAGCTCCAGGCTGCCGAGCAGAACCCGTGGGGGTGTCCCACTGTGGGGAGCTCATGTCTCTCCAGGACCAAGAAACGCTGATTCTTTATGGTAATTTTAAAGCTCTGCGGGAATGTTCCCAGGGCCACCGGCGCCACACGAACCTCTACGTTTTGGGGCGGTCCCTGCATTCTCCAGGGGCTCCGTCTGCCTGTGCACACGGGATGGACCCGTCTCCCACCTGCCGCGTGCCTTCCTTTGCCCTAATTCTGTGTCCTCACGTGCAGCTCACCCTCCGTCCGCCCCACGCGCAGATCGTACTTCAGGTTGGCAAACGATGGTGTGCATGCCTCCCAGAGGTCCCCATCATTTTGGTGTTTGGGGGCCAGTCCTGGTCTTCCCGTCTTCAACATATGAATTTTAGGAGAGGGACCCCCACATTCACATCATAGCATATTTCATTTGGTATTTCGGAATAGGGGGTGGCCTTCCATCTCTGCTCCATCCATCAGTGGATGGGTTAGTTCATTACGTTAGTCAGTGAGCATTCATGGAACACCGGCCTTGCACCTGCCAGCAGGCCAGGCGGTGAGACACAGGGTACCCGTGAGAAGCTGTGTGCGCCCCGGCGACATTGGCCAAGGAGGCAGGCCAGCCAAAGCGTGCAGGTCCAGCAGGTTGTTCTTCTCACGTAGGGCAGGTGAAAGCTGTCTTGATGGTATCATGAGCACAAAGGAGCACCCCAGGGCCTGTATGTCTGAGACAAAGTCTCGACTGGGAATGGCCTCCATGTTGCATGGATTCTTCCCAACTGTGGAGGGGCCTCCTGCATGGGTGCAGATGCCAGACACAGGAGCCCACACGATCACGTAGTGCTTGCATGATGTCCCACAGAACCATGAGCTCTTTCAGGGCAATATTCCCCAATACCATCATGGTTTACCTTGGGCTTGTGAACGCACGAGTGTGGAGCATCCCTGTGACCTTGAGAAGCCCCGTATGGTCACCTTCCCCACATGACAGATGTGTTCCCACCCCATCGTGACTGCAGGTGGGATGTCTCACCTGCGCTTAGGCCACTCAAGGCTGCTGACTGTTCCCTGAGTGACTGTGGACACCAAGGATGGGCTAGGACACCCCACGGTGTGGATGTGTTGTAGGCTGTTCATCCATGGCCCTACATGCAGGGACGTGGCTGTAGTGAGAAGCGTGGGCTCCGCGATGGCAGCCCACCTTGCATATCCAGGGCACACTCCTGCAAGTGGTTTTGTGGCATCAACAGATAAATGTGTTTCAAATTGCACTAGATAGTGACGCCTGCGTGGCTCAGCGGTTGAGCGTCTGCCTTTGGCTCAGGGTGTGATCCCGGGTCCGCGGATCAAGTCCCACATCAGGCTCCCTGCATGGAGCTTGCTTCTCCCTCTGCCCGTGTCTCTGCCTCTCTCTGTGTCTCTCATGAATAAATAAATAAAATCTTTAAAAAAATTGCACTAGATATTACCCGAGGACACCCCCCCCCACACACCCACATGGACTTTTCTTTGCATTCCCACGCACAGTATACATGAGTGTCTGCTTGCCAGCACCGTGCCAGAGAAGTGTAGCATCAAAGTGCACTTTTGCCAGTCAGATGGCATCTCGGTGAGTTTTCGTGAACGTGTCTCTTATTGGGTAAAAACTCACACGTCTTTGTAAGGACCATTTCATTTCGTATGTTTTCATATACAGACTTATGTTTGCCCTTTTTCTTTATAGAGTGTTTTTTTTTCTTGATTTGTAAGAACTCTTTACATATCAGGAAAATAGCCATTTGCATGTGATAAGAGTTGCGATTTTTATTTATTTATTTTTTGAGTTGCGATTTTTAAATGACATCACTTATTTCTAGCTTTGCTTTTGGTGTGTTTTTTTTTTTTCCATTTTCATAGTGAAATTTGTCTGCTTATTCTTCTCAGCTTTGACCTGTAGTTATGAAGGCGTTTCATATTCTGAGGTTAAAGATAAACGTATTCATGTTTTTCTTCCCCCCCCTGCTACGTTCATTGTGTAACTTCTTCCCCTTGGTTAACTTTGATGGGTACTATATGAGGTATGGATCTAATTTTGCCTTTTTCCCCAAATGTTTATTTATGTGTCTCAACACTGTTGATTGAAAAGTTCATCTTTGGGGCACCTGGGTGGCTCAGTTGGTTAACCGTCCGACTCTTGGTTCTGGCTCAGGTTGTGATGTGAAGGTCATGAGATCGAGCCCACGTTGGTTTCTGCCCTCAGCATGGAGTCTGCTTGACAGTCTGTCTCCCTGTCTGTCTGCCCCCCCCGCCCCGCTTGTGCTCTCTCGCTCGCTCTCTCTCTCAAATAAAGACATAAATCTTAAGAATAAAATTAAGTAGGGGATCCCTGGGTGGTGCAGTGGTTTGGTGCCTGCCTTTGGCCCAGGGCGTGATCCTGGAGACCCAGGATCAAATCCTACGTCGGGCTCCCGTGCACGGAGCCTGCTTCTCCCTCTGCCTGTGTCTCTGCCTCTCTCTCTCTCTCTCTCTGTGTGACTATCATAAAATAAAATAGTAAAATAAAATAAAATATAAAATAAAATATAAAATAAAATAAATAAAATTAAGTAAAATTTTTCATCTTTGTCACCTTTATCAAATGCTCAGTCTCCCGGGGCTGGCCAGTTCCTAGAGATACGAAGCGCTTCACCCGGGAGCACGCCTCTCAAATGCCAACCAGCCAGTTCAGAGCCCTCGCCCCACCAGGTCCGGGACCACACACTTGGCCACTGTCCACCCAAATCACTGCAACGCCAGGGACGCACAAGTAGGGACGGGCCCCCGTGACCCAGAATCTACTGAAATTATTCACACCAGGTCACCCTAAACCTGCTGAGCCTGCTTACCCATTTCTTCCCACAGTAAACCCTCTTGTCCACGTCTGCCTGTCCGTCAGTCCACGAGGACTCGAACCACAGTTACCGACTCTCAACTCCCGTTTTCCGTTGTGTGTTCTCACGTGAAGAATTCTTCCAAATGTGTACTCTGCTTTTAAAACTCTGATTTAGAGTGGTTTGGTGCCTGCCTTTGGCCCAGGGCGCGATCCTGCAGTCCCGGGATCGAGTCCCACGTCGGCCTCCCGGCATGGAGCCTGCTTCTCCCTCCTCCTGTGTCTCTGCCTCTCTGCCTCTCTCTCTATGTCTGTCATGAATAAATAAATAAATAAATAAATAAATAAATAAATAAATAAATAAATAAATAAATCTTTAAAAAAATAAAAAAAAATAAAACTCCGATTTATTTCTTCTTCTTCTATAGTTCTGGCCCCACAACCGGAACGTGTTGCTATAGTGACCGGAGGCACGGATGGAATCGGCTATTCCACTGCGAAGCATCTGGCGAGACTGGGCATGCATGTGATCCTAGGTGATAATCCGTATTTTTGGTTAATGGAAAATACCCAGTTATATCCGTGTGCAAACAGCGATTTGCTTAGGGGTAAAACAGATCTGGGAAACACCTTATAAGGACTCCAGCCCTACTGCGTGACAACCCACCTTAATGACCTCATTTTACCATAATCACCTTTTTAGAGACCCCCTTCCAAATGAGGTCACGTTGTGAGGACCTAGAGATCTGGGCTTCAACATATGAATTTGCAGAAGATGCACCATAGCCCACTGTAGACTCTGAGCACGTGTCAACGTATTGGCTTCCTCGGCAGCTGTATCCTATTGACACTACATGTTCCGTTCTTCTGTTTGAAACTCTGTCTGGTCCTTATCCTGGCATCAAACTCTTCTTTGAAACCAAAGGGATTTTCTTTGCCCGGGAAAACAGCTCAAATCAACCCATTCTACTTTTGTTAGTTTTCTGGTGCATTGGGGGTAGAATTTTTAATCAGCTAGCAAAAATGATACGGTGCACATCACCTTTGGGAAAAAAAAACACACATAATACAATTCATGCTAACTATGTCCCCTATTGACATCATTTGCATTCAATTAATATCTTTCATGCTGTCCGTTTTTACAGAAATCATATTGTATGTCTGGTTTTAAGGTGTTACGGATTGCTTTCACTTCAGAGTTTCTAAATAATGTTGCATGTGGTGCTTATTCATTAATGATTTATTTATTCCTTTCTCTCTTTTTTTCCTTCAACTTTTGCCTGCCATCATTTATTGAAGGATAATTTCAGTTAAGAAGTGATCGTTGGGGCTGGGTATTTAGACATGAATGTGTTCTACTCTTTCATGTCTCTTGATGAGCGCGGTACACAGCCAGGTTTCCCCTTTCCTGGTGCTTGGGCCCCTTTGGTGTCTACTGATGCCTAAACACACAAACCAAAATCCATAATATTGTAAACCAAATGGGGCAGCCCGGGTGTCTCAGAGGTTTAGCACCACCTTTGGCCCAGGGCGTGATCCCGGGGTCACGGGATCGAGTCCCATGTCGGGCTCCCTTCATGGAGCCTGCTTCTCCCTCTTCCTGTGTCTCTGCCCGCCCCCCTCTCTGTGTGTCTCTCATGAATAAATAAATGAAATCTTTAAAAAACATACTGTAAACCAAATGGTATTGAGATGCAGGTAGAGAAATAGATAAGAACACAAACCTGCCATGAAATCACAGACTTTATATCTTTATACGACAAATAACAGGACCTACTGGTGGGCTCAGTAGCTCCTACTGATTGGAAGCTGTGATGATCCTAAACTTTATTTTGAGACTGCTTCAACACCTGAACTAAGGTCTGCAAACATCTCTGGTTTGTGTCGGTGGCCAAGTCACAGACCCCGCCCATACTTCTGAGTGTTGTCCACAGTCCATTGGGGGTCGGCCACCATGATGGTATTGGTTGTTGGTGTTGAAACTCACAGACCCCCAGAATTCCATGGTGGGAGGCTTTCTGGGGGGGGGGCCTCTTAACCCAGATGAGGAGCCCCCAGGTCTAGCCATCGTGGCCTTGTGTTGTCCTCGGAGGTATGCTCAGCTGGTCCTTCAGTCTCACAATCAAATGGGCTCATACTTCTAACTTTGAGCTTTTTTTTTTTTTTCACTTTTGCAAAACATGACTCCACAATTTAAAAATGTTGTATCACATGACCCTTGCCCTATGTCATTTTTCTGAAAAAGCACAGTTTCTTACAGTGATTCCTCCCTGATGGACCCATTTAGGCATTTTTCTCTCACGAGCCATGGGGGTCTGTAGAATGGTGCACATTCAAGCACATTCAAGCTTTGGGAGGGGTTGATTACTTCCTGGTCGACCTCACTGTTCTTTTTCCTCACCAGTATTTTTTTCTTCAGGAATGTGTCCTAGTTCCATTGTCTGAATCGATGTGGAAATGATAAAATGGTTTTTGACAAGTCCTTGCGAGGACAGTCTTTACCAATGTCCGTATCTACCCCCCTAGATGAACAGGAGCTGTTGGCAGGTGCGGGGGTCCTGCAGGACAGGAGACCCATCTGAGTGTGCACTTCCAGAGCTCCCCTTCAACTGTAGCATCCCCATGATATGTTTATTTCTCCCTGGGACCTGAGCACATCATGGAGACAAGGTGTGTGAGTGAAGGGTCTCAGGTCTCTGGGAGACAACTGCCATGTCTTGGGTTTCTGCCACCATCTGGGATGACTTGATCAAAGTGATGTCAGAAGGAGCAGTAGGTCCCCTCCGAGGGCCTGCTGGATCAGAGCTAGTGGCAGAAGTAACCTGGTGGAGCAGGATCCTGACAGGTGAGGGCTGGCATCCCCCCCCATAACTTCTCTAGTGCACTTGTCTTCATCTTCTTTATTCTTTGTGAAACTAGGCAATGCTGCAATGCAAAGAAAGAAAATGGTTCCATTTCTGTGCTTTTTGCTTCAGTGTGGTGATTTAGTCTAGATGGGTTAGGTCATGATGAGGTCTAATTGGGTAGCTCATGAGGCGGTCTAGTTGAGTGGGTCATGAGGAGGTCTAGTTGGGTTAGGTCATGAGGAGGTCTCTAGTGGATTAGGTGATAATGAGGTCTAGTTGCGTGGGTGATGATGAGGTCTAGTTGGGTTGGTTCATGAGGAGGTTTAGTTGAGTTAGGGGATGATGAGGTCTAGTTGGGTTAAGTCATGAGGAGGTCTAGTGGATTAGGTGATAATGAGGTCTAGTTGAGTGGGTGATGATGAGGTCTAGTTGGGTTAGGTCATGAGGAGGTCTAGTTGGGTTAGGTCATGAGGAGGTCTCTAGTGGATTAGGTGATAATGAGATCTAGTTGAGTGGGTGATGATGAGATCTAGTGGATTAGGTGATGATGAGGTCTAGTTGAGTGGGTGATGGTGAGGTCCAGTGGGTTAGGTGATGATGGGATCTAGTTGAGCAGGTGATGATGGGATCCAGTTGGGTTAGGTGATGTTGAGGTCTAGTAGGTTAGGTGATGATGAAGTTTAGTTGGGTTAGGTCATGAGGAAGTCAGGTTGGGGTTAGGTCATGCTGAGGTCTAGTTGAGCAAGGAGCGAGCAGGTACTGCAGACACAGTGCAGTGAAAGCATGTGAGGAAGCACATAGCACCCATGCATCTGAGGACTGGAGCCCCAGCTCTCTTGTTACCTCCTCATTTAGGTGATGTTTCCTGAGCACCAGAAACAGTCTTGCGAGCACCAAATTTCTCCTTTTCTTGAGTTAAACAGAGTAAGCACCACCTGTGCTCCTCACCCTCCTGCATCTTCTTTCCCACCCCCACCGAGCTTCTGATGTCTGCATGGGTCACAGTTTGACCCCTCTCAGGCAGTCCAATCAAGCATGAATCTTCCTTCCTCCCTGAGTCCTTCAGGGCATAATTGCGTATGCTCTGAGAGGGACAATTTTTCACTTTGTGTGACAGTTTGCTAGAAGGCCACTTAACGAAATATTATCACTGGACACTTTAATATAAATTTCACATTAAATACAAACTAAGATGTGTATATTCAGTTTCAAATTTTCCAATCCCGAGTCCATTAATGTTTAAAGAATACTCCATTACTTGCTAGAGAATTGGGAAGGGAACCTGGATCCAACCCAAGCACATTAATAGTGCTATAAATACATTAATTATTAAATTTCTCATCTGCTCACGGTGTCTTCGTTCTTATAGTCGCAAAATACTGTTTTGGTGGAGGATCTTTCTTTGTAATTCTTCATGAACAGCCATCGAAGGTTGAGACCAGGGGCTAGTAAATTTTCTTCTGGTGTGGACCAGATAATAACTATTTGCCTGGGTGTGTCTCTCAATGATCAACTCTGCCCTGATAGTGGGAAAGCATCATTGTCAATATTTAAAGCTACAGTCATGGCCATTGTTCAATTTTTTTTTTTTTTTTTTTACATCAGGCAGATCCTGAGATTAGGCACTAGCTTCCTAGTTTGCTGGCTCTGGTTTGGGTTCAACATCTTTAAAACTTTGCCCCCCACAGAAAGCATGAGCCCAAGGCAGATCCACTGTGCTTGTGCCCACCTTCCATCCTGGTCAAGTGCTGTCTCTTATGCAATATTTGCTCAGTAAATGTAGGGAAAACTCTAGTGATTGCATAGGGTCAAGGTTCCATATCCAGCTCTGGGGAGCCAGCTGATAAAGATGACCTTTGCCAAAAAGAAGTGCCTGTGTCCATATCTCTAATACAATGCCTTAGGGAGAGTAGTGAGCTGCCCGTTAGGGGGAGCGGTCACCATGACCAGTTTCCTCTGCTGGTTTGATGCCCTCCTGCTTCCTCTGGCCATTTACATCTTTTTTGCGAACATGGAGCATCTCTCCCAGTTCGTGCAAGCTTCCACCGGGCCACCCCTGATGCCAGAAGGGTGGCCTGGTAATGGATGGTTATTGAATATTTTAAAATCTCATGGGATTTCAGAAATAAGCTCATGCATGTACATAGCCCCAACTCAAAGAAAGGTGAATTTTATTTTGTTGTTTTCGATGCCTACAACACTGAGAGATGGAATACAATTTTCTGGTTATCCCTGACATGGCTTCCTGCCTGTCTGTGCACCCTGCCACGCAGGACGACTCTTGGAGCAAAAAATCTAACAACCGTGTAATAGCGTCTATTCTTGAAGGGGGCCCCAGGTGGGAGGGTCACGCGAGCCAGCCCTTCCCCCTTGTGACCTGGCCCTCCCAGGCCAGGTGTCTCGCCTGGTGTCCTCATGCCACCTGTCGGTTCTCGGGGCTCTGGGGGCTTCACACCCACATGTGTGTTCCTCAGATGCCAGCTCTAATCCCCTTCTGTGGGAGTGCTCCCATGACTCACCCGTGCAGGGAGTCTCAGGGTTGGCTCACCCCGCAAAGGATCTGAAAATCTGCCTCAGGTCCAGTTGTTCGTGATGGCATATGGGAAGATGGGATCTCCTGAGCTTCTCCCCCGAACTGCAGCCCCGTGCGGCATGCCTTAAAATTAGGACTGTGCGCTCAGGGACACAGTTGGGAAGCAACACGCCTTCCTCCAAACATCAGTGCACATTCATCTAGTCAGACATTAAGAAACCTGTTTCACTATTTCAACCCCCAAATTTCATAGTCTGTTTTTTAACAGTGATGTCCCTCCCGTATGAAACACTCTTTGCCTTTCTTCTAAACTCAACGACCACCGGAGCCATTTCTCTGCTGGTTTTTACAGAGTCATGGATAAGGAAATGGGAAATCCCAAGTATGGAGTTTTTATGGGTTTTTATGGAGTTGTGGATGAGGAAATGGAAAATCCCAAATATGGAGTTTTTATGGGATTTTATGGAGCTGTGGATGAGGAAATGAGAAATCCCAAGAATGGAGTTTTTATGGGTTTTTATGGAGTCGTGGATGAGGACATGTGAAATCCCAAGTATGGAGTTTTTATGGGTTTTTATGGAGTCGTGGATAAGGAAATGGGAAATTCCAAGTATGGAGTTTTTATGGGTTTTTATGGAGTCGTGGATGAGGACATACGAAATCCCAAGAATAGAGTTTTTATGGGTTTTTATGAACTCGTGGATGAGGAAATCCCAAGTACGTAGTAGGAATGTCCTATGATCATGTTTATAGCTCAGACCACCAGTGAGTGGGAGGAGCTGAGTGTCCGCTAAAAGTTTCTTAGCAAGGTCTATATCTGCTCTGACCTTGCCACCAACATTTTGTTGCTTAGGCTCCTCTTGGCTTCCCTGCCCCGACCCAGCCACCCCCCATGTTCATTGTGCCACCAGGTGCCTGTTGCCCCTGTAATCATCAAAAGGGGAAACTTCATACAAATGCATCCTTCTCGCCGATCCAGGCTAGAGGAGAGGCTTTGTCTGGTGATAGGTGGCGTTGGCCACAACTGCCCTGACGGCCCCGTTCCACCCCATGGCACGATGGGAAACCGTAAAGAGATCCCTCCGGGGTTATGTTTTGCATCTCAAGGCAACATTTTGTCATGCTCAATAATGTCTGAACAACATTCCCACGGATCCTATCTTTTCTTTTCCTTGTAGCTGGAAATAATGACAGCAGTGCCCCAGACGTCGTGAGAAAAATACAAGAAGAGACTTTGAACGACAAAGGTACTGCTCGCCAGCCAAGCGGCTGTTTCCCTTGGTCTGAGTGTGTGTTTGTGGCTGAGCCCCGGAACCCGGTGTGGGACCTGGGATCGCCAGCACGGGGTGGGTGGAGGTGGCACTCGGGGGGCAGGGGATGTCTCTCCCTCTGGTGCATTTCTTTTGGGGATTTCCGGCTCCCCCTGGCGAGAGACGAATGGCAGTGACCATGTCCCCGGGAGAGCGTTGCTGTGTAGGCGGCTCCTGGGGAACGTGTTGGGAAGCGCCGCTCGTTCTTGTCTCTCGTTCTCACCCCGTGTCCATCTCCAGGGCTGCAGGCCCTCTGCGGCATGTCTTCATGCGGGAACCACGAGAGGCGCCTGCCAGCAGGTGCTTCTACTGGTTGCTGGTTCTTGACTGGAGATCATTCAAACAGGGATGTGTTTGGCTCCACCCTGCTCTGTTGCAAACCCTGTAGTGCTTGCTCTCTCTCCTTGTTCCCCCCGAGCCGTGGACACCTGTTATATCTCTCCTGCTTGCAAGTGCTCTTGAGTGTCTTCTGAGCCCTGCTCGTGGGCCTTAGGTGTAAAGAAAGAAGATACAGGGCTCCTGGCTGGCTCCGTCGGGGAAGCGTCTGCCTTCAGCTCCGGTCATGATCCCAGGGTCCTGGGGTCAAGCCCTGCATTCGGCTCCCTACTCAGGAGGGAGTCTGCTTCTCTGTCTCCCTCTGCCGCTCCCCCTACTTGTGTGCGCTCTCTCTCTCTCAAATAAATAACAGGAAAAGAAAACATGCACATGACCATCTTGGACTGGCTCCAACCAAGATGGCGCCTTGAGCATGTCCCATGTGCTGGGGCTTCCCCTGTCTGATCGTATGGTGGATCATCTTCTTCGTCTTCTTTTTTTTTTTTTTTTAAGATTTTATTTGTTTATTTTGAGAGAGAGAGAGAGAGCATAAACAGAGGATGAGAAACAGAGGGAGAAGCAGATTCTACACTGAACATGGAACCCAACATGGGGTTCAATCCCATGACCCTGAGATCATGACCTGAGCCAAAACCAAGCATCAGATGCTTAACTGGCTGAGCCACCCCAGCGTCCCAATGGTGGTTCTTAATAGGCCAGAAGAGAGCGAGCCACGGATGGCAGTCAAGTCCAGTTAGCGTCTGTCCCATGGTGCCCTTATTATCTATCTAGGTCATACAGTGCCGCCGTGAAACTTGCCATTTCACCCTGTCCGCATGGCTGGGGGCGTCCTGGGTGCCTCCCACCTTTGTGACATGTTCCCTTTGATCCTGGGACACAATAGGCAGCGGTTTCCCCAGAGCCCAGAGCTGGTTCCGCTCTTTGTATGACGACAGGTGGCTGTTGCAGACGGGAGCCGATTCCTTCCACCACCTGCCCTGCACAGAAATGGTCATGATACGTGATCTTTGTCCCCGTCCCCATTTACCATGGCTTAAGGAGGTGGTGTTCTCCAACACGCTTGTGTTCCCAGCCCTGCAGCATCACGACGAGTATGTTACAAATACAGATGCCCAGCCCTGTGAGGAGTCACACCCTCTAAGGATGGGCCCAGAAATCTGCATTTCCATCTGGTTGACCCCTCACAGTCCCGCTATTTCGAGACCCAAAGAGGAGTCTCATGGGAAACCGCCAAATCATGTGTTCTTTGAGACTTTCGAAACATTCCGAATATATTTTTTAAGAAAGGACAGTTTGCCAAAACTTGCTTATGTTACAACCTAAGCAAGGAGGGAGTGTTTGTTCGTGACGTTTAAGAGCTTCACACGTTCTCACAAACCCACAACCAGTAGCCCTGTTTGTCGGAGGAAAGAATGTTCTAGAAGCCCCGTCTGACATTAGAAATGACTAACGCTGGCTCCTGTGTTGTGTGTTGAGATTGAGCTGTGGGCGTGGAAAGGCCATGCATCGAAGGGACGGTTCTGTGTCCGCATGTCCACGCTGGAGGGGAGGCCACCGAGGGTCTTGGGTCAGCAAGGCAATGACTCACGATCGCAAGATGGCATGCTCACTTCTGAGAGCGGTCACCCGCCTCTCGTCAGCTGATGGTGCCTCCTGCCGTCGGCTCCTGTTTCTTCTTTCCCGTCAAATGCCACAAAGTTGATGCACCGAATTAGCATCTGGGAGATTCAGGCAATAGGACGGATAACCCTTCGGGTGCACCCCTGCGGGCCCTAGAGCGCCAGCCCATCTCGATGCATGCTGCACCCCCTTCCTGCCTCCCACTCCTGGGCATCTCCATTTCTGAAAGGGGCAGACCCTGTCTGTGTACAAGAAGCATGGCTATGGGTCCTTGGTGAGGGCATCTGGCCCTACTTTGCTTTGTCCTTTCTGCTTCTTAGGACAGGACCGACAGATGCCCCGAGGGTGGTCATCGGTCTTGGGCTTAGCCTGGCCTGGGAGTGGGCGTGTGGGGCCGGGGAGGTGTCTCGCCCCGGGCTGGGTGAGCCCTGAGGTGTGTAGCATGGGTACTCCAAGTGGAGAACCTGTTCATGGCGGTTGCCTGTGTCCACTGTGACTGAATGGGTCTGTGGAGGGCGGGGTGGGGGGAGGTCTGAGCCAGACACACACACACATTTTAAGTGAATCTTGGCTGCATTGAATTAAACAAGAAAGTAACACTATTAGTTTTATATTAGAAGTGAGTGAGTGGAGGAGTTGGTCAGTGCAGGGCCCCTTCCGCCCGCTGTGTGGGACAACAGGTATACCAGCAGCTCCTGTGGGCACCTGCTGGGGGAGCTGCGTCTCCCCGTCCCTTGGCCACCGCCCATCCATCAGCAGCCCTCCTTCCTCTCAGCACATCTCCCTGTAATCAAGTCTAGCTCGGGATGCTCTCCAGAGCTGAGCTTAGCTGCAGACGCTTCTTTCCACACCAGCGTGCACCCACCAGAGCCTCCGAAATTCTTGCCCACACAACCCCCAGTAACGCAACTTGGCTTAGCGCCTGTGTGAGCCACACTTATTATGGATTATGGCTCTTCTGTGATTTCTGTGTTGGGTAATTGTGTCTCTGCTCTGCAGAGTCTTTGTCTTTTTTTTTTGAGCCAGCAAGCAGACATCGTAACATTAGTGTAGATAACTGTCAGAACACAATGATTTCTCAATGCCTACCACCTTTCCAGCCTACCTCTTCTCTGGACTCAATCTAAGTAAAAAAAAAAAAAAAAAAAAAAAAACCAGAAAACCCAACTAATGCTTAAATGCCTCATCCTCCTTAGGTTCTGGAACTTTCTGCCTTTGAGGTCATGGTCGGTCGAGACCCTACTTTGGGCTGGGGTGGGAGGCTGCCCACATCCCAACCTTCAGGTGATTGAGCACTTGGAAGGACGAATTTATGAGTGTTTTCAGGAACGGAGGCGATATGGCTCATCTCTCAACTGAGCCATTTTCCAGGGATAAGAATTTCAGTGCCTTGTCATCCTGTATCCATGGCGCCACCAAAATCTTTATTGTTCTTGAGTAATAACTGCTGAAGAAAGCCATCTCTTTTGGAGCGCCTACTCCTGCTTATCTAGGACCAAAACAATAAATAAAATGCAAAATAGAAGTACAAAACCCAACACCACCACAAAAACAAGTGACAGACGTAACAGGGTCCCAGTGAGCATGAGCACAAACGGGAAAAGAGCATTGAAATACTCTTAAAAGTACTTAGAGAAGGTATTTCTGTTTCGCGCGTTAGCCATAGACTCTCACAAGCTGTGAGAATTCCCTAATCCTAAATCTTCCGCGTGGCGATCCCATTGGAAATACAACGTCTGTGATCTTATCAAACAGGCTTTGCTTTGTGCTCTTGAGAAATAGCTTGTTGACCAGTTTCCATCTTCCCTGACATCATTCCGCCAGCAGTAGCTCATCCGTCTTTATTGGGAAGAGGGGCCAGCTGTTTGATTCACGGGCTTTGCCTTAGGTATTACATCCAAACCAGAAAAATCCCTTTCGTTGAAAGAGACCTTTTCCTGCACCCGGAAAAGTCAGTTGTGTTGCCGTTGCCGGCCAGACAGTTTCAGCTTAGAAATACATCTTTGAACTCTAATGTTTGGATTATCCAACTGGCTGTAAAATATTTTAATTGGTCATGGAAGCAAAAAAAAAATGCTATGATGTCAGTTCAATGTGCATTATGGGAACAGGTAACAGCGTCCCTGGATCGCGCCATCTACTAGTGTTCGTCATCCGAGGGAGATTCATATCTCGAATGTAGACCTACCGTGAGATGAGTAGACACCTACCATGTTTCTTCTTCTCGTAGACACTCTGATTCTGCAGAATGGTCCTTCTGGAGCTTGGTCCATTGGGACAACCTTGAATGAGTGTTGATTGCATGGATCTCTTGATTCTGCCCACCAGGTATCCTTTTTCTTTATGGCATAGAGTTCTCAACACCCCATTCGTACGGTGAAGCACCGGATGGAAGTTTGTTGGCCAACAGTCAGTGATATGCCCAAGAGTAGTCTCAACAATATTCTGCACGTACATTCAGGTCTGGCGTATACTCAAGGTGCCTTGTCTTCCTTACTTAACATAAAATAGCCCTTTTTGATGTAAATTTTTCAAACTTGAGTCCTATTTTATTTTTTTTGCCCTTCAGTTTTAATTCAGTGTCCTGGGTTGGGCAATAAGCAGCCACGCTGGCTAGCTAGACGACAGCCAGGCAGACGGACAGACAGCTGGTTTCCTGTGGGTAATTAGAAGGTTTAGAAGGTCACTGTGTCTTTTCTGAAGGCATTGGAGGAGTCGCTCAGCACTTTCTGAAAATTTAATCGGCTATTATAGGTCTCACCTTGTTCCTTACATTAAAGGCTCCTCATCTCTCAGGCTTACAACGATTAATTTTAACCTTTCGAAACACTAGCAAGGTGAGTTCTATGAGAGAGGCAATTGTCTGCCTGGTTTCCTTAGCGCCTCTATAAATACCTAGAGGATTAAAAAAAAAATCCCACGAGAAAGAATTTTCATCCTCAGAGCGCCTGCCACGTTCTGCTTCCCCCACCAATAATTTA